GCACTAGCCAAATCCCTCCAGGAGCGGACTTGAGAACGACTCAGTTGGTGGTACCACCTTGAAGCGGGTCCAATCAAACTGTCTTGAAAGCAGTGGATCAACATCTGATCATTGTTAATGTATCCAGTCATTCTTCGAATAAACATCGTGAGGTGGACCTTGGGGCAACTGGTTCCCCTGTACTTTTCAAACTCGGGCATCTTGAATTTGGGCGGGAGCACCAAGTCGAGAACTAGTACTAGTTCTGTTGCATCCATCCCGTTGTGAGAGGTTTGTCCTCTCATTCCATGGAATGTCTCTCTGCACCACTGTTTCAAATTCTCTGGGATCTCGTTCTTGGCTCTTCTCGTCGCTTGGTGACTAGGAATCCTGTTGGACGAGATAAGTGGTTGTGAATTAGCCTGTGCCTTCACACATTCAACTGTTTCACGGGTCAGTGAAATCTTTTCTTTGCCTTTTTCTTGGTTGAGCTCAGCCATCTTTGCTACCATTTGGTCAACTAGGTCTTTTTGGTTTTGCAAGATACGATCCACGGTGGTCTTTTGCATCTGCTCCATTTTAACCTCCCACTCTGCTTGCAACTTTTGCAAACTCTCGTTCAGCTCTTTCTTTAATTCCTCAAATTTTGCATCCATTCTCAGTACTGTGTGAATGCAATTGCACAGTTAGAAGTGCTTCCTCAAAGTTTCCAGCAAGGTATGATTAATGCATGTAAACATGCTTAAATGAATGTTATGCAAAATGCAATGATGCAAATGCAAATGCAGAAATGTGGATCCCAACAATGAATATTTTAGAACAATTTTCACCAGAAATAAAAGTTTTCACATTACAAGACAGTCCACTTTACAGACTTGACTTCTCTTAGATGTTGAATCTGAAATGGGTCGCTGCTTCATCTTGGATCTTCATCCTTGAAAATGATGCCCCTCAAGCGTGTTGTAAATAGACTCCGTTAATGCCTCGGTGGTGCTGAAGTTTGTGCTTCACTCCTTGATGGTTAACGATGGAATAATTGTGGATGAGAATCTACTGCTGGATTACTCCTTAGATCAGTGGATTATCATATCAGTCTCGAATGATGCACGATATTCGAGAAAATCTCATTCTTATACTCTGGACTTCTTTTTAGCCCTCGATGCATGTCTGTGTATGCGATCGCTTGATTGAAAACTTTTATCTCTTCTTGTGAAAATTTTTCTCTCGAATATCCCCTTACGGATCAACACTTTTGCATTATGATGATGCAACGCAATGCAATGCAAATGACAAAATGACACAAACAAAAGAGAAGAAATAAGTTAGTATACACAAACAAAAGAGAAAAATAAGTTAGTACATGTAAAATAATTGATACAAATAAAAATGTAATTCAGAGATGGATATATCACCTACCCCGTCATGATATCTACCCAAACATGCTTTCAATTAAATAACAATCCTACCCGGACATGCTATCTACCCAAAATGATCTATTTTCAAGAAATTGGTCCTAACTACATGGTATCTAGTTCGCATGCTTTATTCGAAAAAAAATATATTCTACAAATTTAAATGGTTAAGGTTTAGAATCGTTCCTCCTTCGTGTACACCTATTTTGGGTACCTACTGACGGACAGAGGTTCGATACAACTATACCTAGGGTGATCGTTCGACGGTTCACTATATGCTTGGTTTCGGCTCTAACGGAAAAAGGGACTCGAATTGTCCTTGATGTCGGTGCCCCCTTGGGCTGCCAAACCCTCAACCCTCACCCATTACAGGTTTCAAACGGAACGAGTTCAATTCGAGGGGATTCACTGTCTTATACCCATACGAGGAATAAATTCCTACGAAGGTATAAGGTATGTATCCCATGAGTTATTTGCTAACACTCATACGAAGAATAAATTCTTACGAGAGTAAAGCATTCACCCCAACTAATTTGGATCGAAGCTCGTGTCTAGAGCTTATGTTATGCCAATGCGAGTGATGATGTGTGTGAGGAGGAACATACCTACCTTCGACCCAAAAGGAAAACAAAACAAGGAAAAAAAGATAAAATCCTGACAAAGCTGAAAGCCAAAAATAAAATGTTAGTACGACAAAAAAAACGAAGCAATTAAAAATTTCAATAAACGGATCATAAATTAACTAAAGACTCGAACTCATAATTTCGACCATAACGACAATGTGTAAGCGACATACAGCTTGACCCTCTAAAAAAAAAGTCCCCAGCGGAGTCGCCAAGCTGTCATAACCATTTTTTTTTATCAATTAAATATTATTTTAAAAAAACGATTATGACTTTATTTTAGAAAAATTGGGCGATTTTGAATTGATTTGAATAAAATTGAAAAGAGTCGCCATCGACCTTTGGGTTAGGTAGGTTGAATACCTAAAAACGTCTTTTAAAACAATTTTAAGAAAAATCATTTTTTAAGACAAGATTCGGTCTGCGTTACCAAAGATTCATTTAAATGGATTCGGGAGTCGGTTACGTGCGGGGAAGGGTAAACATCCCCACAACGCCCAAAATTGGTACTGTGTCGCTTACACATCGTTGTAAATGGTGGAAATTATAAATCGAATATAAAGTTAAAATATGATCTATTTATCGAACATTAATTAATTTGCTTCGAATTAAATAATTAGAGAAAAATTCTTTAACTCGAAAAGAAATCTCGAAATTAGCAATCCTCCATCGGGAAAGCTAACTCGACTATTCTTATTCATAAAGAATATTTCCTCTTGATAAAATGCGAATCGAATATAAATAAAATTGATGTTTGCATACAACAAAATAAATTGATTAACTAAAATGTGAATTGAATACAAATGCAAAATTTGAATTTGACATTTACATAAAATAAAATAAATTACTATTTAATATAACACACATTGCATCATTTGCACAAATTAATTAGTGAAATATAATCGACTTGTTGCAAGTTCCTATGTCGTTAAAATGCCGTATCGGATCGCACCACTTCGACCAAGTGATACTTTCCACGCTCATTCTACGCATACGTGTACTTACAAGTATTTGGACAATATTTAAATAAAGAAAAATGGAAATAAATAGAAATAGAAATATGTGAAATAAATATTTATATTTACAACAAATAAAATTAAGCATATTTAATTACATATGGTACAAATAAATACATAACATGAAAAAAGTACATACATAGGGGATTAAAAGAATGTTACACCCCAAAATATAAATGGCCAAAAAGTAAGTATTTAATAATTACAATGACTAATATGGTAATAATAAATTAAAGGGCTAAAACAGAAAAATAGAAAATTAAAAGACTAAAATAGCAAAACAGAAACGTAGGGACTAAAATAGTAATTAAACTGAATGTAAACTAGTGACTAAAATAAACAGATTTACAAATCTTAGAGTCAAATTTGAACATCAGCCAAAATATACAACATACAAAATCAGTGACTAAAATGAAACCACTACAAACATTGTGGCCAAAGTAAAATATGAGTATAATAACATTACATTTAATAATAGGACTAAAATAAAATATATATAACTGCAGAATACAATGTACAAATTTATAAAAATTAGCAACAGAAGATCTAGTGACCAAAATATAAACTATACGAACATGGTATACAAAATACAAAATACATAAACTGTAAGAGTGACCAAAATGTAACATGCATAAATATTAAGGCCAAATTAAAATATCAACAGAAACATAAAGGGCCGAACAGTAATTAAATAAAATAATAAACAGTGACTAAAATGGAATAATCATAAATTCATGGGCCAAATTCGAATATCAAAGGAAAATACACATTAAACTGAAACAGTGACTAAAACGAAATAAATATAAATATCACAACCAAATTATAATATCAGCAAATAATATATAAATTAATGACTGAAATGCAATCATTAAAAACTAAAAGGCTCGAAATAAAACAATAATAATTTCATTAAATGACTTAAATAGAGCATTACAAAGGAGAAGGGACTTAAAGTGTAGTTACCCCATGCGTGAAATTACAGAATTCGTCCCTTCAAAACGACGCCGTTTTGCAAAAGCTATAAATAGCCCAAATAACTCCCAAAACAGGCCATCTGTTTCATTTTTCCCCAGAGAAGAGAGAGAGTAAGAGAGAGACCGAGAGATGAGATCCAGAAACCGGTGGAGTCTCCACCGTGCCGGCCGCCTCTCGTCGGCGGTCACCGCCGTTCACCGGCGTCGGAGAAGAGAGAGGAAGGCATCATTCGAAACACCCTTTCACCCTGAGCATGGATCGGAGATCCGTTTGGCCTGAAAACGGCCCAAACTCCGTAGATCTACAACGGAACCTACGGTTTCTTCGACTCCGGCAGCCACTGGAATGACCTTGAACCGAGGTAAGGGCTTCGCCCTTTTCTTTCTCTCTTAGTTTTCTTTCTTTCTTTTTTTTTTTTTGAAAATCGAATGGAATTTTTCTCTGAAAACCGAATCCCACCTCTCTCCGTTTTTTCAACCCAATGTCCCCCCCTCAAAATTGGTACCTTTACTTGATTTATGGTCCATTTTGCTGCGTTTGGTGAGATGATGATGATGCTAGCGTAGGGATAAGGGTCCCTGATCTTGGTAGGGACAAATTTCCCGATTTATCGGGATTTAGGTATTTTTTAATGGGTTTTGGATTTGATTTAATTTGTGACTGATTTGGGTGATATTTTGCATTGTGGATGATACTGGCGACGTGGGAACGGCGGCTGGACCATCGGAGTGGGCCGGAACAGTGACGGCGGCGCGGCTGTCCATTTGCTGTTGCTGGCGGCGGCTGGATGATTTAGGGTTTTGAAACCCTAATTACTTGGGCCAAATCCAGGCCTAGTTTGAGTATTGGGCCTGAACCGGGTCTTGTTGGGCCTTGTTGTATTGGGCTTTGGCCTGCAAAATATGTAAAATGTAATATTAATAATATAATAAAATAATAATAATAATAATAATAAAATAACGATAAAAAACCCGGACAAAAACGGGTGTCTACAGGAGTATTGAAGGCTGTTGCAAAAGGATTGAAGAAAAGCGGTGGCGGTGGTGTGGTGGAATTCGAGAGAGCAATGAAGTTGGGAAGGGGGTTTTATGGCAAAGTGATAAAAATACAAGCAATGAAGACTCTTCTTCAGATGGAATTCAGGATCAAAGCTATTAGCTAAATAGCCATTGGAGAAACAATCCTTTTGATTTTATATTACTTTTTTTCTGTTTAGTCTGTTACAATTTTTCATCTAACTTGTTTTGCTGCTACATTTGATGTTACCATGATGTAACCGGCAAATCTTGCTGCAATACTCGTCCATTCCATCACAAGTTTCCATTGTACTTGAGACACCCTTGTGTGTTCTTTTCAGGTCTGATGGTACCGTCGGGTTCTATCTCCCACTGTTGATCAGCATCGCCATTTGCACACCTCTTTAGTGCAATATAGTCATCCTCTGTGCATTATACAACCACGAACCATGAATGGTCGTATCTACGACCAAAAAAAAATCATGCCCAAAGCAATATCAGTAAAAAATGAATAAGCTTCATTACTGATCGAAAGAAGTTTATCTCAAATTCCAGCTCATGGATCCCTTGGCTTCCAAGCACCAAAAATCAGCTCCCTTAATAACATAAACGTTAACCCAAGCAACCCATAATTTAATTTTTAACATAATTTAATTTTTTCTTGGATTTTTACTATTGATCCCTCCGGTAGCCCTAATATAACACCTCGGGTCGGATCGGTTCACCCACATCGGTCTGAGAGAGTTTTGCAATGCTTGGCTTTGGAGGTGCTTCCAATAGGAGATGGAGGAGGCCTTTTATAACAAAATTTTCTTCTCATAATTCAACTTTTTCACCATGATTAATTAAAAATTTTACTCATAATTCAACTTGGTTTTCTTTTGTCTTCACGAGGATAGTAAAAGATTCGATCTCTTAGACAATAATATTTTAATATTGTTTATACATAAATAATTTTTCTTGGTAATATAACGATTAAACAGATTACACAATAATTAAATGTGTGATAGTAGTGACAATAATAATAACAACATACTTTGAAGATTATTAAGTCATCGATAAATCTTCTAAGCATGATGATAATAAAAAGTTATATAATATATCCTTAAGTTTTTAGAGCAGGATAAAAAAGACCTTCAAATCATCAATAATTTTTTATATCATAATGAAAATACTTTTAAACCATTAGTAAATCGTTTAAACATGATATTAAGATATTCAAAATATCTATAAGCCATCCGTAAATTTCTTTTAACTTTATAATATATTATTAATATGAGTTGATCAAGAATGGTATTCATTTGCATTGAAGGCTAGATTTATCTTCCATAATTTTTTATCCGAAATCTTAGATGTCAAGATGTAAAGGTTTAAGTTTTTCATTTAATATCTCATGATCATTTGATTTTTAATTAGTTATAATTGTTTTAATCAACTTCGCTTTTCCTCTTATCTTATCGGGAATGGTAGAAGTTTCGTTCTCTACTTGAATTTTAATGGCGTTAAATTAGAGTTGACATTCGAATACATTTGCTAAACGTTGGTTTTTATTTAAAAGAACGCAAAAGAAAGGTAGTTAGAGGATGATACTTTAATAGTGGCAATGGCACGCTTGCAACGCAAACTTTATTATTATTTCTCACTACTTCTACCACTATAACTGTTGTTGCTAGCATGACTGTTAGACAATGATATTTTAGTAGTGCTGATACAAAAATAATTTTTCTTGGTAATTTAACAACTCAACAGAGTAATTTAACCCTACTGGTACTGTAATTAAATCAAAACCAACTGCAAGTTCAACTAATCCAGCTGTAATCCCAAATGATCATATACTAACACCATGTTAATTCTATTTAAATTATTTTTCCGTTTTCAAATTTTACAGAGAACGAATGAAAAATATGTAAATTTAACCCTAATGATACCGTGAAAGTGCTGGCGGTGAATACGAGTATGTTATCGTTAAGTCAAGCGAAGCAGTGCCACTTCGAACACAAGCCACACCTTCATTGTTTGCTGATGCAACAAAACTTTCATTCCAGGGCAAATTATTATGGAGATGGAGAGAGATTTCCGAGACAAATTGCTATGGTTATGCATTCATGGTGTTTTACATGTATTTTCTGTTGATTGACTGCGGTTGAACAAGACTGATTTGTTCATTGGTTTGTTGTTAACGATGTCGTTTCTAGGACAGAATATTAAGATCGTGAGTTCATAGTGTTTTACTTGTATATTTTGTCTTCGATACTTAATTTTGTGTTGCTACTTTATTGAAACACTGATGGATAACTTTTTAGTCTTTGATCAATTTTGCTTATGTTAATGATGCGAAAAAAGCCTAATTTGATATTTTTGCTTGTTGCTCTGGTTGACTTCATTGTTTGTTGTTCTTATATCTGGAATTTGATGCTTGACAATCAAGATATAAAATGTTTAGAGAGAATTAAGTGTTTAAAAAAAGACTGTCTTCTTGCTTAAAAAAGACTTTAGATTGAAAGCTCATAACTTAACGGCATGAAGAAGAAAATAAAGGGCAAAAGATTGTTATTCGGATAGCTAGACGGCAAGATCCATCATTCTTTTATTTATCGAGTACATAACATATATGGTAGTGCATATATGTGCTTTCGCTTTGAACTAAATCTGGCCAAGTGTTTCGTCGATAACCTGGTGAAGAAGGGTGGTAGCTGAATATGTGGTGGAAGTCTTTTTTTGCAGTATTGCAATAACGGGACGCACAGATGCCACAGTGCTGTAAACAATCTGACCAGAAACAACAGTGACACTCTTTATAAAGGTTCCATCGGGTCTTGTATCTTGGACAGCATCAGACAGTTTTCCCCAACTGGTTTCGTACGCCTTCATTACGCCATCGGGATATAAGGTTTTATCAGGTCCCCCAGGAACAAGCGGCGCCAGTGCAGCTATCTGTTGCTGGATGATTTTCAATCGCGTGGCTTCCGAGACCATCTGGATACAAACTACAAGTGCTTTCGCAACTTGCTTAACATCAGCTTGAGGTGTGTAATAATTCAAGCTCTGGATCTTTTGGCGTAGTTCACCGAATCCCAGAGGGATTTGATCTCTGTCTACTCCTCCTGCTTTAGTTTTGAGGTCATCATAACTGCCACTGAAACCAAGATTGACTCTTGTAGTGCCCTGGAAGAAGAGATTTTGTACGGCTGGGGGAATATCCTTGAACCAGTAGGACGCTGTTCCGTCCCCTGGTCGATAACCCAAGACGTACACAGTGACGGAATCGATAACTAACGACACCTTCTTGGCGCTGCTGGTGAGTTGACCACGACGTATCGATGGAGATCGGTAGGTGACATGGTCCTGGGGGGCAACACGGGAAACCCTTGCACTGAACTTCCATGGACGATCAATGAGTTTATCAGATCCTTAATGAACACATCGTACGTGCTTTTGGTGGCGGACGTAGCGGTGAATGTGACCTTGTAAATCGGGGCTTGTGGTTCCACTGTGGATACCAAACATGCCCATACCACTGCCACTGCCACTGCCAACACCTTCATTGTTTGAGCAACTTTCATTTTTATGGAAACGGAGAGTTGGAAATTGTTTTGCTTGCCAAATGGAACGATGATATCAGCTTTTTATAATAACTTTTAGCATCCAAGACGTGTTAAATTGTGACTGGTTGCTTGCATAATTAAAACCTAATATATCCTACATGAAGTGGCAATCTAACAACTTTAGGACTCTTATATTATATATCCACGTGCATAAATCGTTTTTTTATCAATATAAAGCGACAATGCCAGAGGTGTGTCACATGGCCTACTAATTGCACAGAAACCACTGCCCATAAGTTGGCTATGGTAATCGGACAAACATCTATATTTTTAGTGTATTAAGGTTTTTATATTTTCTAGGTTTTTTTAAAACAATAATATATATTTGAATTAAAATATAAAACTTACACGTCATATCATTAATCTTCTAACTCAAACGATTTACTTAAGTTGAAAGATGAACTCTAACTCGTCATTAAACTAAACATTAAGTTTTTAATTTTAAAATTTACTAGTTTAATAAACTTTAAATATATTTTATTTCTTTTCTTTTACTTCCATTTACCGTACTATGTTGATTTTTATGGATGTTACTAAATAATTCGATCATCAATTATCTTCATTTTATAGATCTCTATGATTTGTTTCTTATATATGAGAAATATTTCTATTTTCTCATGAAAATAATAGTAGAATTTTTTTATCACATTTTATTAAGGTGCATTTGGATGAGGAATTGTAGAAATATTCTAAAAGAAGTTTTGGTGAACCATGATAAGATAGGTTAAATTAGCTATGTCGTTAACATATGGTAAAAGAGAAATATGTAGGTGATTTGTATTATAAAAATATAGAAACTAAATTGTAATAAAATTAAAATAAGAGGGGTTAAATTTTTAACTTTAGAAAAATAGAGAACCAAACTCACGGGTCCCCCTTTACAAGATAAGGAGTGCCAAAAAGCTGAGGTCCGTGTTGGATCAAAGGGCAATATACGGTCAGCATTCAAAATCCACTTTCACATTTTGCACCATTAATGTTCTTCAACATTTCCATACATATTATCCAAAAATCATGAGCTCCTTCATCAGTTCTACATTTTCCACCCATGTCAACCATAACTTTCCCACACCCCAAACTCACCATTGCAGCAAACTCCCCCTCTCCGTAATCCGAGCATCGGTTCAACCCGAACAAAACATTGTGATCGTCGGCAACCGGAGAAAACTCGTAACAACGTTTGTTGCTGCCTCACTGGCTGCACTAGGATTGCAAGGCACACAGGTGGCAGTGGCAGAGAATTGGGGCACGCATTCGTTTCTCAGGGAACGGTTTTTCGAACCCGGTTTGTCGCCAGAAGACGCCGCTGCGAGAATTAAACAAACTGCCGAAGGGTTACATAGCATGAGAGACATGTTGGACACCATGTCATGGAGGTATGTCATGTTTTATATCCGACTGAAGCAGGCTTATCTTTCTCAGGATTTGAAGAACGCCATGAATACATTGCCCCAAGGCCGTAAAGATGTGTACGTGAAAACGGCAAATGAATTGGTGGATAACATGGCAGAGGTACGTATGTTCATAGATTATGAATTAGCTGAAATGGCCAACATTTCTTAATAATTAATGGTTTTTCCCTTTGATTTTCGTAGTTCGATTATTACGTTCGTACCCCGAAAGTATACGAATCGTACTTGTACTATGAGAAGACATTGAAATCCATAGATGATCTAGTGGCATTATTGGGGTAGAACAATGCCTGCAGCTGAAGATATACATAAGCAATTGGCAATTTGCTTCTATGTGACCATAATTGTGGTTCGCAATCAGTAAGATCAGGGAATGTTGAGTTTCAATCAACGCTTAAGAAGACCAGTATTTGGTTCTTTTGCAGCTGTTGTTCATACAATTATATAAGAAATGCTGAAGCTTGAGTACAGAGAATAGTTTCAGTTTTTGTAATGAAAACGAGGTTGAATTGCTGTGTTATTTCTTATGACATGAAACTCAGATTTTTCTCACAGCATATGACAAATCACATACTGCAACACCAACAGGCAAATTTAGACCGACATGTCCAACCAGAATCTTTTCATTTCTGGACTCCAAGTCCTGCAACTTCATAACCAAGAACACGACATGCATAATGCATGGTTGCATACGACAGAGACTAGACATTTTTTTCGAAGATGATAAGGGGACTCCAAGAGAAAAGGGTCATATGCAATATCGACATATAAACATGCTCAAATGAATGGAACTCCATATAATTAGATGATATATGTATAGGCACACACCAGGATAGTAACTTACTTGACAACGTAATCCGACCCTTCATATGGATTCAACGCTTGCAGTTTTACTATCATCATAGATATAATATGTGAAAATGAGAAAGAAGTGCAGCCAAGGACAACTTGCCGGATAAGGTAAGTATGGTATATGGAGGAGAGATCCTAGCCGGCAAATCATCCTTGGCTGCACTACTTCACCTCATTTCCACATGCTAGACCTTAGATGAAGAAATCCGGCACTGGGTTAAACAAATGAGAAAAGTGGAGTGTGCATATAGCCAATAGTGGCAGCTTATATATATACGCGAAGGCCATGAGGGTGCGCATGTGTCTTGAAGTCAGCACACGCAAACAAACCCTAAAAGTCTTTATCTTTGCCATTGCCTACTCTGATCTTTCTTGGAGGAATAAACACTGAACATGGTATGTAATGACATTTTGTTCGACATGCCGTAATCTTAGAGATATGAATGAGAGTGGGAAGAATGGAGATTGGTTCTGATTTGTATGTAAATAGGATGTAGACACCCGTTTTTGTCCGGGTTTTTTTCGTTATTTTATTATTATTATTATTATTATTATCGTTATCTTATTATTTTATTATTATTTATTATTACAAATTTTTGCAGGCTCAAACCCGAAGCCCATCAGATACCAAACCCGACCCAGAATTACAAGACCTGGAGCCCAGACCCGGTTCAGGCCCAATACCCGAACCAAGCCTGGATCTGGCCCAAGTAATTAGGGTTTTAAACCCTAAACGTATCATCATCCAGCCGCCGCCGCCAGCAACAGATGAACAGCCGCGCCACCGTCACTGTTCCGGCCCACTCCGATGGTCCAGCCGCCGTTCCCGCGCCACCATCGTCATCTACAGTGAAAAATCAATCAAACAGCAACCCCATCAGTCCCAAATCAACCCAAATCAGTAAAAAAATATATATCCAAACCCTAAATTAAAAATACCTAAATCCCGATAAATCGGGAAATTTGTCCCTACCAAGGTCAGAGACCCTTACCCCTACGCTAGCATCATCATCATCTCACCAAACGAAGCAAAATCAACCATAAATCAAGCATGCAACCAGAGAGAGGGGGGATTTTTCATTCGGGTTTCCAGAAAAAGAAAAAAAAACATTTGAGAAAAAAAAAACAAAGAGACTACCGAGATTAGAACCCCACAAAAGAAAGAAAGGAAGGAAAGGAGCGATTTTCTTACCTCGGTTTGGCATTGGAAGTCCGAGAGTCGCCGGTTTTCCTCATTTATTCGAAAGGTATAACCTAGATCTAGGTCTTTGGGGAGGGTTTTAGACTAAAGGAGTTCGGTTTTCGACATGGGTATGAACAGGGGATCGTTCTGAGGGTGGTTTTCTCTCTCCTGCCGTCGTGGGCCGCCGTGAGCTCTGCCGAGAGCTCCACCGGCGGCGGCGTGTTCCTCTTCTCCAGAGAGAGATTTGAGAGAGTTTTCCCCCTCTCTCTCTTTTTGTTTCTGGGGCAAGTGGGAAATGAGGGAGATGAGAGGTTTAGCTCATGTTTTGGGCTTTTATTTCCCAGTTGGAACGACACCGTTTAGGGGGTCAGGGTATGCGTGTTTCAGCATGAAAGGGTAAATAGCCCATTTGGTCCCCGTATGTTCATAATCTTCCCCGTGTTTCTCATATTTTTAGGGTAAATCGCACTATAGGTCCCCGTGTATTTTGTAACGTTCTGATGTAGCCATTAAATGAAGTTTCATTTATTTGATTTCAGATTCTGATGTTTCCTTATTTATATTTTAGTCCTTTTATTATTTGTTAAGCTATTTTGTTAATATTTGACATTGGTCACTATATTTGTAAATATATTATTTTAGCCATTGGCATGTGTATGGTCTAATTCCTATTTAGTCTTTTAGGTTTCAGTTTTCTATTTGAGTCTCCTTTTTATTTCTTGTTATATTTTCGTCCTAATATATGTGTTGATGTTTATGATAATTTTTATATATCAGGCCTGGAACTTGTGAAATGTTTATTTCAGTCCTTAAATTTTCTGTAATATTAGTTTGGTTTTATGACTATTCAGGTTTATTGATTTGTGATTAATTTTATTTTGATCATTGTATGTATATTAATGGAATTTATTAACATTTATGTTTTAGTCTTTAAACTGGGTTGCTTTTTATTTTAGTCCGTCTTTGTTCTTAGTTTTTATTTTAGATGAGGTTTATGATTTTGGTCATCTGTTTTGCTTCCTTTTCATTTCGGTCCTTTATGTTGGCTTGTGGGTTCGATTGGGTTAATGTTTGATTTAGGCTTAAATTTTCTTTTAGGTTCATTTTAGTCACTGTTTTAGTTCATTGTATATTTTGTTGACATTCGAATCTGGCCATGTCATTTGTATACATTTTATTTAGTCACTAGTTAGTTTATGGTTTAATTACATTGTAAAGGGGCCCCGTGTTTGTAAGTTTGTTTAAGGGTTTAGTGTATTTTATTTATTTTGTACTTCAAGCCCTATATTTTGTAAAGTTTACATATTGGTCACTGGAATGGTTATTGTTAATATTTCGTAAAGTTTAGACATTGTACTCTTTGTTTATGAAACTTTTATTTTGATCATTACTCTCATATTTTGGGTTAAATATTGATTAATGTCTGTTTATTTTACTTTCATTATATTTTAGTCCTTATCTGGTTTATTATAACATTTTATTAGAGTTCGAATTTGGCCATGTTATTTTATGCATGTTTCATTTTAGTACGTGTTTAACATTTAGCTTAATTATTGTTTAGTTCTTTAGGTTTTTTATTATTTTATTTTCGTCCCTCCAGTTTCTGCATTTATGGTTATGGTCCTTTAATTTCTTATTTACTGTTCAATATTTAAATTTCTGTTAATTATATTTTAGCTCCTTAAATGTTTTTAATGTTTATTTTGGTCTATAATATTTACTGATTTGCATTTTAGTCATTTATGTATGGATGTGTATTTTACTCATTAGTTAATTATTTGGATTGTGTAAACAATGTGTTTGATTTCATTTAATGTAAATATTTGTATTTCCAATTACATTTATTTTCATTATATTTTTATCTATGTATGAAATATTCGAATAATTTCAAGAACACATATTTATAGAATGGGCGTGGAAAGTATCACTTGGTCGAAGTGGTACAATCCGATACGACATTCAAACAAATATGAACTTGGAATAAAATTGATTCTATTTTGTTAATTAATTCATCTCATATTTTAATTCGAATAACGTGATGCAAGTTATTTTATTTCACACAAGTGTTTATTTTTCAATTTATATTACATTCTTGTTTTATCGAATAGGGAATATCCTTTACAGCTAAGAAATAGTCAAAATAGCTTTCCCGACGGAGGATTGTTAATTTCGAGATTTCTTTTCAAGTTAAAGAATTTTCCCTAATAATTATTTGAAGCAAATTAATATTCAATAAATGGATCATAATTTAATTTTATATTCGATTCATACTTTCCACAATCACGACGACATGTAAGCGACACAGTACCAATTTTGGGCGTTGTAGGGGTGTTTATCCTTCCCCATACGTAACCGACTCCCGAACCTGTTTTAAATAAATCTTTGGTAACGTAGATCAAATTTTTGTCTTATAAAACTATTTTTCTTAAAATTGTTTTTAAAAGACGTTTTTTTAGGTATTCGACCTACCTAACCCAAAGGTCGATGGCGACTCATTTTCAATTTAATTTTAATTAATCCAAAATCACCCAATTTTTCCATATAAAAGTCATAATCGTTTTTTTAAAATAATATTTAATTGTTTTACTTAAAAATGGTTATGACAGCTTGGCGACTCTGCTGGGGACTTTTTTTAGAGAGTCAGGCTGTATGTCGTTTACATATTGTCATCTTGGTGGAAATTATGATTTCTAGTTTTAGTTAATTTATGATCCGTTTATTGAAATTTTTAATTGCTTCATTTTTAATTATCATACTAACATTTTATCTTTTTGCTTTCAGCTCTGTCCAAGTTTTTGTCGAGTTTTTTCCTTTTCATTTTGAGTCAAAGGTAGGTATGTTCCTCCTCACACACATCACTCGCATTGGCATAACATAAGCTCTAGACACGAGCTTCGATCCAAATTAGTTGGGGTGAATGCTTCACTCTCGTAAGAATTTATTCTTCGTATGAGTTTTAGCAAATAAACCATGGGATACATACCTTATACCTTCGTAGGAATTTATTCCTCGTATGGGTATAAGGCAGTGAATCCCCTCGAATTGAACTCGGTCCGTTTGAAACCTGTAATGGGTAAGGATTGAGGGTCTGGCAGCCCAAGGGGGCACCGACATCAAGGACAATTCGAGTCCCTTTTTTCCGTTAGAGCCGAAACCAAGCATATAGTGAACCGTCGAACGATCACCCTAGGTATAGTCATACCGAACCTTCGTCCGTCAGTAGGTACCCAAACTAGGTGTACACAAAGGAGGAGTGTTTCTAAACCCTTATCTTTTGTTTTAATTTCGTAGAATTTGTTTTCTTTTTGAATAAAAGCATGCGAACTAGATACCATGCGGTTAGGACCAATTTTTTGAAATTATTCATTTTGGGTAGATAACATGTACGGGTAGGACTATTATCTATTTAAAGCATGCTCGGGTAGATATCATGATGGGTAGGTG